GGTTAATGCTTGCTTATCTGGTGTTTAAACCATACATGTGTGAAACGTGTGGGAAGGCATTCATACATCACTAAAACTAAAGGTACATTTCTCAAAGATGTGCTGGAGGAATCAGAACTATTAATAAACTATCAGAAACCCAAACACCATGTGTAACCCAGTGAAATATTTTTATTTCCATGTTACAACCATTTATAGTATATCAAAAATGTTTCAGTGTTAATTCATGCTATCTCTTAAGTAACTAAAAAAAAAAATCTTTTAACGCCTTATCTGAGTTGCTGCCAGGAAAATTATTCCGATAGTGGAGAAATATTTGAAATGATAAATCAGCTATGTGTTCTCAAGATTTCTTCTTAAAGTCTCTTATAAAAGAAGAACAAGAGATATCTTCCTATTCCACTCATGCTGATGAAGCTGCACAAGATCATTCTTAAACCCTCGCATTAAAATCTTATACCACATCTGTGCTCCTCCTCAATTAGACATCAATAATGGAGGGCCAGTAAATCTTCACCCTCCTCCGAACCAATCAATCTCTCTGACTGGCCAGTGCTCGGCCTTTAATCACTTCCCTGTCCTCTCTTGTGTACTTTTCACTGTATTTTCAGGCTGAAGTCCAGTGGAATGTTGCACTCGGCCAGACGCCACAGCGGTTCACCCAGCCAAGGCCAAGACCAAGACATGACATGTGGTCTCGGACATCAGCGCGCCTGGGTTTAGTTGGCTCCGTGCAGCGCTGAAAAGGCCTGATCGCGGATCAGCAGCAGGATTCTACACTGGAGACCCACGACCCCGGAAAACCCTCCACTGGGATGAAATAATGTGGCCAAAACAGATGGCCTCATGTGAACGTCTATATGTGGCACCGCCAATGGTGGAAAAGGGTGGAAGGTCAGAGGTGAGGGGAAGCACTGTAGCTGAGCCTTGGCTGGAGGTTTTTGGCCCTCTGGCAGGCTCATGTGTAACGTTTACGCGCGCCGCAACCTCTACAAGAACAACGGCGCAAACAACCCACATACGACTCCCATTCCAAGAAAATCTGATGCAACAACTGCCCAGAAATATTACAGTATTTAATATGTGTGACGTTAAAGAAAAAATAACATAACATAGATGGACTATTAATTTTAGAGATAAACCAGTGGAGAAAAGCTTGCTTTACTAAAGTTAGCTTATCTATAGCTGCTTAGAAAAAAAGCAGCGTGTCAACATCGTATCCGGGAGACGTCAGTAAATTTCAGCAAAATCTCAGGTTTGGTTATCCTGTGCAAAAGAACCACATAAAAAAGAAAAACATAGTAATTTTTTTTATTACATTGAGTCCCCAGATAATGCTTATCCCATGTGAACAGGTCATAAAAAATGTAAATAAATAAGAATAATAAACTTATAATGAACAGTTATGAACTGATAGATATTAAACATCTCTAAGTCAAACTTTAACCAAAACCATCCTGGTGGGACGTGAGTAGAACTAAGCTAAACCTGCATACTGAGCAAATGGATTTAAAGAGGTTATGATGAGTATTTGCTGTGAATGACTCAAAAAACCATAACGACACAAGTGGGACTTAACATTTCATGAATCAAACCCCTATCAGGTTGTCAAAGCAACCAATTGGGTTCATACGCAAAGAGATTCCTTGCACCGGGATGCCTTTCATAGAAATTTCCGGGAACTCCATTGTGTTTTTATTTTTTATTTTTTTTGCAGGTTTCTGCCTTTTAACCCATCCTCTGTGCTTGGTAGGCAGTATGAGTTCAGTAGGTGTGGGAGACGAAGGATTTTAAGGAGGATACACATTGTGCCAGCTCTGAATGAGCATAAGGCTGATACTTAGAAAAAAAATAGCTTTGCACACATGAGAGATGCAGATATTTAAAATGATGTAAAGGGGAATGTTTAGAAGGGAGAGTGCAAACGTTTTCCAGATACACGGCGTACTATGATCAGCTTAGTTAGATAAGAAGAGAGGCTCTTTACCCCCTTTTTCTTTTTTTTTTCATAAAAACTCCCACAAACCTCTGCGACGAGAGGCTCTGAAGAAGCAACACATCTGTTCCAGGGTCCCCCGCTACAATGTAGGACTAATTAAAGGATCAACTGAAGTTGGCACAGCACCCAACACAGCAGTGTGTGGTTCAATTTAATTATAACAGATCAACGTACCTTTAATTGAACTTCACGGCACACCGTATTTTCCTCGCTTACCGTGAGCATGTAATTAATCAAAAGAAATGCAGCGCTCGGAGTGATGCGGTACCATGGGAAGAACGCTCTCAGGTAGACAGATGTGCACCAAACAGAAATGGACGTCTCGGTGCGGTCTTTAAAGATCCTGCTACGTTTCGGTGTGTGTGTGGGTGTGGGTGTGTGTGATGGGGTCGGCTAAGAAAGCAACACGAAGCAGGTCGTCACAGGAGAACTTCTCTTCCCAAGATGAGTCAAGCTTCATTTGTGAGCATCTGAAACACGATACGTCCTTAATGGAGAAACAACAACAGTGGCAGAGCTGCTATCCAATCCAACGTTTGGTTGGAAAATGTCACAGGCAACTATCCTGAAAAACCCACAGATCATACTCCTGGTTATCCCACCAAATATTGATTTCTGAACTCTTCCTGAGTTAAAACATTAGTGTTGTTGTTTCTAAACGAACATGAACTTGTTTTCTTTGCGTTATTTGAGGTGTGAAAGCGCTGCGTCTTTTTTTTTTTTTTTTTTTTGTTATTTTGACCATTTCTCATTTTCTGCAAATAAATGCTAAACTTTTGCTTGGAATTTCGGAGACATGACATCAGTGGTTCATAGAACAAAAGAACGATGCTCATTTTACTCAAACACTCACCTATAAAAAGTTAAATCAGAGAAACTGATCATTTTGCACTTGTCTCAGTTTTTTCCAGAGTAGTGTATATGAACATCTTTACTTCTTTCTCACACTAAAATACAAATAAATTTTAATCTAATTTAGTGGGACTTTGTGTGAAAAATACAACGTAGGCGATATAGTGAATAGCTAGTTAAAATGTTTAAGGGTTTTGTTTTTTTTTTTAATAAAAACTGAAAGGTATGGTGTGCATTTGTGTTTTGCCTCCTGGAGTCAACATTTTGTCGAACCACAGGTCACTGAAATTACAGCTTCTAGTCTTTTGGGTTACGTCTCTACCAGCTTCAAACAGACTGAATTTGTCTGTTTTTTTGTTATTTTTTATTTACCTCAATCTGCCCTCTACTAAACTTTAAACAGTTATCAAGTCCCAGCAAAAGAAGCAACCACAGTTTTCAGCATGATGTGGAGCGTTAGTTTCCTGCTAATCATGGCATTTTGTTTGTATTCCTAAAAGCTACATTTTGGTCTTGTTTGATCAGAACACCTTCTTCCACGTGTTTTCCTGTGCCTCTTACATTAACTATGGCAAACGGAGAAATAAACTTTCTCTGACTTCCAAAAAGACCAGAATTGAGGACTGCACAAGTAATAGATCCTCTACAGCTCCTCCAGAGTTACCAAGGGACTCGTGGTTGTCCTTTAGTTTATTTAGATGGTCGTGTTTTGTAAATTTGCAGCTCATATTCTTCCTACTATCACATAAAGGATTGAACAGTTGATTTATGACCTAACCATTCTTCAAATCTCCCCTCAACTGTATCCCTGACCTGTCTCCTGTCTTCCTTGGACTCCGCTTAGTATTTCGGTGACTTCTCAAAGCATGCATCATTTTCTCACCACTTCACAATTGTCCATTACTTCATGTGGGCACAAAATCCCCCCAAAAGAGCCAGAAAATTCAAAGGGGAACTGCTGAAACCGATACCAGGTACTGTCTTGTAAGCTCAAAATAAGCTAGAGGAGGTTTCTGCTCTCGCAAATGCACGGGCAGTAGATGGTGAGAACACATGCAAGAGTCACAGCCCTGCAGTGGGATTTCCCTCTGCAGCAAACACATGATGGCATTGGCAGGCAGACAGCTGTACTTGTATAAACAATGACACGCAAAGCACGACCCCGTCCAAGGAGCTCCCACACATTACGCTGCGTCCGTCATGTTCCAGCAGCAGAAACAGCTGGAAGGCAGCTGCTTGCAGGCAAAACAGTCCAGGGCTTCACTTGAGAAGATGTTGAAATATATTGAGACACGTCGATGTGCGCAGAGGGGACTTTTAGCAAATACCTAAGCGCCCATAAGTCACACAACGATACCTGTTCCGTTTCTAATAAGATTACAAGTAAAAAATCTGGCATAAATGCCGTATCTGGATTTTAAAAAGTGACTGATAATCCACATATTAATCTCAAAATGCAATGAAGAAGACCGGCCCTTTGTACCCATGAGCTCAAACTTTCCCACAGTTTACAAGTTACGTAAATTACAGCGTATTTGGCGTGTGGGTACGTCAGAATCCTGACTGTACGCTCCCGGATGTGGAGAAGCTCCTCAAATTGTGTGTTTTGTTAAAGTGTTAAAATTGTTCAACCTTTTTTCCCTTCTTGTAATAAATCCACATGAAATTCAGAGAGAAATTCTCAAAAGTCACAAAAAAAAAAGTTTTTATCACCTACCCTCTCATTACATTTTATATTTTCTAGTTTCATCAAAACGTCTTTCGAGAAAATTCCTTCACATCAACATAACCAAATTGGAAAATAAAGACAAAGTGGGCTTTGACTCAAAACCTGCCCCTCCTGTGGGTTTAGACAAATTAAATTAAATATCCAAAGTTGTTCTCCTAATTTACTAAGACAGAGACAAGGGGAAAATTGAACAGTAGACCCCATGTGGAGTTGATCTATGGCGTATGATCCAGTTAATTGCAGCATAGGCAACTCAGGAGACGTAATTGGAAAATGTATCAAATAGTTGTTCTGTATCCAAAAGCTGGATTGGGGAGTCCAATTTAAAAAAAAACAGGTGACTTTTGAAAAACTTTTTCAAGTTTCTAAAAGTTGCATTATAAGTTTAATCGTAATGCCACGGATAAGAGTAATACTCACATGAACGCATGATAGATGAATGCCCATCCTCTCGGTCTCTCCAGCACGTTGTAAAGGCAGTTTTGCAACTTTCTGAAGCGCTTACTTGAAGCGGATGCGTTGGCTCGGGGTCCGGGCGGTCCGGGCAGCGGGGTGCCCAGGAGCCCCGTGCGGTGAGACGGGTGTCCGCGCTCAGGGGTGGACGGCTCGCTCCGCTCGGTCTGGACGGCGGTGAGCGCCACGAACTCTACCCGCCTGTCGTCGTTCGGCGCCGGGGGAACGAGCATTCTGAGGCCGCCGTTGTTGGATGGACTTCCGAGCATTTTTTTTTTTTTTTCCTGTCACGACTGTTTCTCCTGTCACCTCTCACTGGATCATGCTCTGGATCTTTGCCTCAAAGTGGACTACAACTTGTAAAGTCCCACAAGCCTCGCCGTGCAGGCTGAAACCATGCCTTCTGGTTTGTTTGTTTTTTGCGGTCTCGGTAGCTCGGTCAAGCTTCAAAAGTTATCTGTAAATCAAGACACGGTCGTAAAAGCCAGAAAGCGCAATAGTTTGATTAGTGCGTCGCGCTGAAACGTGACCCTCAGTGACCATCGCTCAGAGTCAGGTGTAAGAGGCTGATCAGCGGGACGCAGAGGGGTGATCACACATGCATTAACTCCAATAACACTGCAAAAGCGACCTGGCATCACTTTGAAAGCAGCGCGCAAACAGTCGAGTCAAGCAACGCGCACAGCTTTTGTTCAACACAACAAGCGAGCGTGACAGCGGTGCACTTGCTCCACGTCGTCTAAAGTCATTTCCGTGAATAAAGGCTGCTGTAATTGAGTTACTCTTAGCTGTTTCTGTCGTTGCCGCGCCACATCAGCTCTCCTCCTGGTGCGCCCCTCCGGTCCAGCGCTCCTCCGCTCCGGCAGGCGGGGTGGAGCGCGCAGGAGTCAGACGCATCAGGGTGCTGACAAGAAACTGCATCTGAGAAAGAAAGAAAACAACAACTCCAGAGAGAGGTTCAGAAAGAGATGCCTGAAAGCCTGGTGGGAGAAAGCTGGTCTCTACTAGGTGACTCTGCTGTGTGGGGAGAAACTGAAGAGGCGGAGAAGTCGGCGCGCCGGGTTGGAGAGCTGCGCAGCAGCGGGACGAATGAGACAGCACTAACAAATCCGTCGTTTAGGAAGATTTCCTGGGAGATGAACTGTGCTAAAAGTTGGATGATAGCAATGCACATAAGCCTCCGATTTAGCAGTTTCTGTTGTAATCCGATCTTACAAAATACAAAAGCACCCCCATGGAATGGAAAATGTGTTCCATAAAAAAATAAAAGTCAGTGTATAATATACATTAATTGCACACGCATGTTTATTTCTGTCAGTTTTCCTAATTGCAGCTAATGAACGCTTGACTATCATCCAGAGGTGTCAGTGACTCCATGCACACATATGTTAATCCACAAGCAGTCATTGCTAATGACACTGTCTGCTCACGGAGCATAGTCATGGAAAGTTGAGTGGAAGGCAAGGGCGTAGGTTCGGTCTAACTTTTGGTGGGGACCTTGGTGGGGACCTTGACCCCCCGGCAGCACAGTGAAATGCCCAAGAGCACCGAACATTTTTGAGAAGGGGGGGGACCACATTGGCTTAATAACCCCTCCCCCCAACCATAACCATATCATACATCTTGTGTATACAACCAGATACAGTCATACAGAGATAATTTCACAGCATATTTCATATCTGAGAACTAACACCTCACCTGGAGCCCTGAAGCTCCAGCCACCTCTCAAACGTTCTAAACTGCTCCTTGCTCTGCTGTCTGAGCATCCTATGTGACAAAATATTACATAATTAACAGACCTATTCTACCTCTCATTCGGTGCTGACCTTACTAAACACCGGACTTTACAACAAATGCGTTGCGTGATAGATATCTAACTTATGGGTCCACTCACTGTACTTACAGCCGACGTAGCGAAATAACTTCTAATGTCTGTCCTTTTCTTTTTTGGTGGCGACATGGCGACTCAGAAGGAGACGCGTGTGCCCAGCTAGCCGCCGCCTTTTGCAGCTAATCAAAGAAAGTCCGACGATTCAACTGACTCCCCCCACCCCCCCGACAGCACCGTTCCGACACGGTCTCGGAGGCTCATAATAAATGTCAAACTAAGAAGCTTCCGTTCCGCACCGCCTGTTGCTGCTAATCAAAGATCGTAGATCCACGTTCTTTGAGCCAATATGGCAAAAATTGGTCGGGACTTTTTCATTCCCGTGAATATTGGTCGGGACATGTCCCTACCGTCCCTACCCAAACCTACGCCCATGGTGGAAGGAAAACCTAAAATTCAGTTTCTCAGACAAGAAGAAAATTACTTAAGAGTTGCAAACATTACCTTGGACTTTGGACCGGTAGGCAGCAGTCCAGTTCTTTCTCTCCTTGTCCCAGGTTAGATGCTTCTGTCATTGTCTCTGATTTAGGCATGGCTTCGCTCGAGGAATGCTACATTTGTAGCCCATGACGAGATGTTTGGCTCTTAAATGACTGAGTCCAGCTTGAATGAGCCTTGTTTGACGGTCTTCTCAAAGCTATTGTCACCCCTGCTCCTTGTGGGTTTTTTTTTTTTTTTCTACTATAGTTTTTCTTCCCACTAAACCTTTTTAATACAGCATTTTGTGATTGGTCAGCTCCGTTAGCAATGCTTTTTGTTGCTTATCCTCCATGTGGAGGGTGTCAGCTGGACAACTGCAATTTTCTCCGTGATGGTGAAGACCATCAAATTACACTTCTGTATTAAACAATGTCGTTTCTAAAATTCACTTCATGAGAGAGCTGAATTATTTGTTTTCGTTGGCTGTAAACTATAATCATTAGAGATACATTATTTAACTTTCTGAATCACACTACGATAAATTAACTTTTCAATGATGCTGATAATGATGTGACTTACTGAGATGCACCTTGGAGCGTTTCAGAGCGCCATGTGCTCAGGTTGTCATCAAACGGTGGGGTTGTTTTCCCCCTGAAATCTAAATGTCACTCGTGTTTATTGTTAGCAGGGGGCTGGATCCATGGCGACAGCGGTTTGAAACAGTAGAAACAGGTGCTGAGGGACACAGCGACACTGACAGTCTGTACCTCATCCTCAACACACACCGCTTTTCTAAATCTATGACTGTGACACACACAGGGACTTGTGGTTATGACACAAACGTGATGGTATACGGAGCTCAGTGTCCCGCAGCAGGATCACCTGTCTCAGGGCCTCTGAAGAATGCATGGAGAGGTGCCTTCCCAACACCCTGTTGGCCGCAACATCTCAGGCACGAACCAAAAAAAGACTCTTTGTGTTTTCTGTTGTTAACTTAATTCCTGATAAAAACAAATAATATTTACACAACTAAAAATCTGAAATATTTTTGCGTTTTTTTTTTTTCTTAGCACCGTTTACGGCGGTAGAAAAAAAACAAAAATACAGAGTCCATCAGTTTGTAATCTATAATAAATTCAGCTGATCTGTGAAAACCTCAGTGTCATGGCATGTTGCTTGAAGTAGGACCCAGATGAATTGTTGATGGAAAAACGGGGAAATGACGATCAAAAGGTACAAAAATCACGGGGAAAAGAGGGAGCCAAGACAGAGCAAAAGAACAGGAATCCAGAAACCGAAGACAACAGGGAAGCTTAGGGAAAATAGCGGGATTTGATACGAGGAGCCAGCAAGGAGTGGCTGAGAATGAGTTGTATATTTGGTTACTGAACAAGGAACAGATAGCTAATTAGAAACAAGTTGCAAGTGTGAGGAGAGAAAGAGAGAGTAAATGGCACATGGGGTGACGGAGAGCACACAAACTGGGTAACTAGGAAAATGAATGTATCGCTAATAACCAGACATATAAGAAAACAAAAGTTATTAATGAGCTGAACTAGAGGGAAACAGAAACACTACTGACCTAATGAAAGAAAAGAAACACACACACATTAATAATAAAACCCAAAACATCCCAAGATCCTCACACTCAGAGGTTTGAAAGGAAACAAACAGCATCACGAAGACCAAGACACAGCAGAGATGAAGTTGTCTAGAAGTTCAACGAAGGATAAAGTCATATAACCATGTTCTAAAAATCTGTAAAAGCACAATTTGTCATCTGACAACGGAAATAGTATGACAGCTCACTTGCACTGACAGGCCAGGAAAGGGCAAGAAGCAGCTTGCAGCCTCATGCTAACTGAGAGAAAACCATGTTACAATGGTCCAGTCAAAGCCCAGATGCAAATCCAACTGAGAATTTGTGGCAAGGCTCGATTCTTACGATGCTCTTCATCCAGTCTGACTGAGCTTGAGCTGCTTTTGAGGACAAATAGGCAAATTGTTTTCTTAAAGCTGGTAGAGACAAACCTGCAAAGCAATTGGGTTCTGCAAAGCACTACGAAGCACACATTTCACATACTTTGTAATAAAAAAAAAATTTTTTTAATCATATTTTCTGTCGGATAAAGCCTAAGTAAAAAAGAATTCAAGTGTATTGTTGTGATGTGGCAAAATGTAAAAGTGTTCGAGGAGAACTAATATTTTCACAGAACAGTTTAGAATAGATTGATTTCCTTTAGCTCAAAAACAATGAACATTTTTGCTCTCGTTCCTGAAATCCTTATTTTCCTGCCGGTAATAAACAGGGAAACTCTCCTCCATGCCACATGCATTCGTCTTATTCCATACCACCAGCTTATGGAAAATGGAGTCCCTGGAATGGCGCGTGGGAATGCAGCTGAAGGGTTTCACAAGTAGAAAATCTAGACATTATGCGCCTGAGTGCCCTTACATAACACATCACTAATCTTAGGCTAACTTCACTAGTGACTGATTAAGTTGTTGCCTTGCAAACTGAATCACCTGCTGACAGCTGCACAGCTGTGTTAATGCAGACACTTTAGTGTAAAACAAACCGCTTCATGAGGCTTGAACAGGATTCAGGATAGCAACTTATGTAACTTTATTAACTAAATTCACTACAGATTTTTTTTTTTTTACATATACTAATAAATTTCCAATATGCACAAAAGAGAAATCTGCCCCCGTCTCTTGGCTTCATCAGCCTTAACACAACAGATAAAGAAGCCTCTGTTAATTAGTATTTATTATTATTTTTAATTATGAAGTAAATAAGAAAGTGCAGTTTTTGCAGTTATGCTGCATGTTTTTTGCAATGTCCGTACAGATTATCTAGAATAGTATACGCATAACATTTCAAATCAAATAATTTCCTGTTTTGTTGCTTCAAATTTTTTTAAATGAGCCACTTTTAAGTCAGCTGACCTTATTATACTTTTTTTTCCTGTGTAAAAATTTGATCAATTTGTTCTAAAATATGAAAACAGGCATATTTTTGTGTAATTTCACTCCTTCCTAAAATAAAACTGATTAGTTCATGTTTGTAAGTATGGCTTTGCGGCTTTAGACACATTTTATTTTGTAGCAACGGGGGCAAAAGTAGCTCTTGGGTGCTGTTTATTTCATTTTCAACAGAATAAAAAAAACGATTATCATAGCAAAACGTTATGAATTTAGTTATAAAGTTTTTGAACGTCTTTCGAGGCCGATTCACATGGAGGGGAACTGTTTATAGTCTCCTTCATCTGACCTTCCTTAAGGTAGGAGTGTTTCAGCAATGCTCCTCCTGTTAAGATGTGTAAGGGAATAAATTGTGCACCAATACAGTCCTGTACAGACAATGTGAAGGAATGATACATTGAAAACTGATCATTCCATTGTAAAGTGCAAAGAGGTCACCGGCTTTTTCAGCTGCCCTTCTAAGTTCATCTGTGCTAGTCTGAACTTCATCAGAGCGTTCTAAACTCTTCTTCTCTTGGTCGGTTTCTCAGCGTTTCGTGCTCTTCCACCAGGAATTGAGGATTAGAGCCTGGTGTGAAGAAAAAGGTTCCTGTGAGCTGTGAGGTTTACAGCCCGTCGTGGACTCTACGAGAACTTAAAAATACTCATATTAGCTGTGCGTCCTGCACACAGCACAACACAAACTCACCCCCCCCCCTCCTCCCAGCCCCGACCCTTTTACTTCCGTTGCGCCCTCGGACGTTTGCTTACTCCGGCTAATGTCTTTCCCAGACCGCAGTTCTTGTTTGTCTTTGTTTAATCCTTTCTCTCCTCCGTCTTTCATGCTTCAGAC